GCTTGGTGTAAAGTAATCTCGTGTGCTCCTTGATGAAGGAGTATAGTGGGTGGTACCGTTGTTTTCAGAAAAATTTATAGATTACCAATCACGATGGTTACTACCTCATAGGCGCGACCGGTTTTTTTAGGGGATTTTTGTGTTAAAAAAAATAAACAAATAATTAACACTCGTCTGTCGTATTTTTGTTGTGATGCACTACTACTAACTCTAATTAACGGACATACACAACCAATGGTATTCTGAGTTAAAATGCAATACTGTTTTCCTGCAATTTTATCAGATTTGATTGTGTTTGTTTGAAGTTTCATGTTAAAGGCATTAAATTGGGATGTAATTCAGAATATGGTAATACGATATAATAAAAAGATTTCATTGTGCTATAAAATGATCAAATTCAGATTATCTATCAATCGTCATTTTCGTCGTCCTCTTCGTCGCTCAAATTTTCCGTTATATTATTCTCACATAAATTTTCCTGCGCTTGACAATTGCACATTTCCGTACACCTAAGGTTATTTATTGCATATTTACATGGTGGGTTGCATTTGTTTTTTGTACATGTACATTTAACTAGCTGAAGTAGTTCTTGGGGAGCACAGGGTTTATCACAAACTACCGGCGACAACTTATTTTTCTCTAAAATTCTCCATCCACAATCAGTTGCCTCCGGTAAATTTGGATGAGGCATACCACATCATTCCCACTGAATCGTTTGAAAATTTCCAGTTCCTTTGGAATAACGTCAATGTCATCAAAATTTCCGTTGAAATTCCACTTTTTTGTTCTTAGTATTAATCTCCGTATCACAGTCGCGGCAGAAAATAGGGTTTTCAGTAAATCCTCCTCATTATCTTCCTCTGCCTTAATTAAGGCAGCATCCATGGTACTTTTGACAGATACACGCTCGGACTCATTTTTTTCTTTTGAGTGTGGAAAAATTCACCCATGGCATTTCTTCTTCAATTAAATATTTTAGACCAGTCTCTTCTAATCCATTAGACAAACATATTTCCAAATAAGTTTTGTGTAAATCTGCCATAGAAGTAACATTACCAGAAGATAAAAATGTATCCAATATGTTAAAAAATTCTATATGAGCTGCAGTAGACGCCATACTCCGATGTGATTCAGCTGTAGACGTGGAACATCTTCTAAGAGTATTTGTTACATTTTTTGACCAAAATGTTTTATGGTATCTAATGTCGATTGCATGAGCATCTTTTTCACTGATACATTCACTGAGTCTTACCCGCCATACATTATTGCCACTGATATCAACTGCTTGTTTGAGATGAGCCCCCCCACTGTCATATGAAACATGGTGCAACTGATTTTTTTTTTGTGCTTTTTCCATCACAAAAAAAACACGCATTTTTGTCATATAACTGCTCATTTTTACCTCTAGTAAAATGACCTAAACTCGGACAACATGCAGCGGACTCTTCAGTTATTTCAATATTATTATTTGTAAGTTGGATTTTTTTCTCGGCGAGTTCCCTTCTTCTTTTTATTAATAATTCTCTTATATCATGGAAGATACCAAATAATGCCAAGAGATTTTAAATTTTCCACTGAAACGTTTTTCAAGGACAGAAATTTGAACAACTTCATCATCTTTCAAGTTAGTCAGAGAACTAATTGTTTCGGATAAAATCTCATATGACGACTGTGCTGGATTTAAAACACATTTTTGTTTGGACTGTTTGGAACAAATAAAACACTTTTTTCTTGTCCTACTATCCCCAGAGAGTCTAAGTTGTGCTAAAGATTTCATTAGGTATGACTAATACGGTATCTGGAATAAGTAAATATATTTATGTACACATCCTCAAATTTCAGGAATAAAATAAAACACACCTCAATAATAAATTAAGATTGATCCGGAGGGTCAAGAACACACGACACAGGACACACGTATAAAAATCAACACTGTCTCAAACAAAGAGATGGTACAAGTGACGAATGCGCGAAGTTTCTCTGCGCGCGCATAGCATTGGCGATTTAGATCAAACGACGTTCTAATGTTTTCATAGTGAACATGTATTTTCAGAGTTGCCAGTGTTAGTAAAATTTATGTGAAATAATTTTCTTCGGAAAAAAATGTTCATATTGTATTAACAATTTAATTAAAGAATCCGAAATGCCTCATTTTGAGATACAATTCAGAAATTTGTATTGTCCTGGCCTTGAAACAGTATTATAATATTTTTTATTATATGTACACTCACATAATTTTTTTTTAAATCAGTAAACAATGAAAATCGAATTTTTCTATTTGTATTACACAAAAATCCCCTAAAAAAAAAAACCGGTCGCGGCTATGAGATAGTAACCATCGCGATTCATAATCTACATATTTTTTCTGAAACGGATGGTACCATTCCCTATACTCCTTCATCAAGGAGCACACGAACCTCAATTTTATTACTTTACGCCAAGGACTAATATAAATTTAAATAAAAATCTCAAATTATAGTAAATGAGCGATGTTTTTTAGTTTTTGTGTTGGGAATATTTACTAAGATTAAATCTCCCAAATCTTTTATATCATTAACTTTTATATGAACAAGTTCATCGCATCTACAAGCTCCTGTGACTCCAAATATTAGTACAACCTAAAAAATATACTATATTACTTTTATAAAAGTAAAATAAAGTTAGAAAGAGCAAAAAAAGAAAAAGTTAAAAAAATACAGGGTTCGAACCTGGGCCTTCAAATTACGAGTCCAGTACTCTGACCACTGAGCTATATCCGGACTTAATCAAAATATTCAATTTATTTTTATCTATTGTTTTCATAGCGGATAGATATAAAATAACTGAATTTCACAAATTATAACAAAATTTTATATTACAGATATGAAAGGGTTAAATATATAATTTTAAAATGCGTACATACCTTTGTTGCTAAATATTTATCATTAGGTGCTTTATTAAGTAATTCATCAAACTCTTCTTTAGACAAAAACTTTTGACTTTTTAGGTTTATAATTTTCGTCTTGTCGCTTTAAAAAGGCAATTAATTTAGAATAGTTATCAATTTTTACATTGTGTTCGATGTTTAATTTAGATTTTACCATTGAATATTGCACCCATAGAGTTGAACTTTTCAGTTTTTTGGATAAATGTGTAAAATATGCTATCATCACATTTTTCAAATACATTATGTACGTTGTTGTCCTTGGCCCATTTCATAAATTTATTGTACGCATTATCGTAAACTTTTTTTGATTTCGCGGGAATTAATGTTGCCAATGATGAATTAGCAATTTCAAGTAATTCAGGTGGTGTGCACTGCATTTCTTCAAACATTATTGCTTTTAAATTTGAAAACCGACCTGACGTGAAATTTAAAACTGACAGTTACGACAAGTCATAGCTATTTAAATTTTTAATTCGTTGTATGATAGGTACACTGCTGTGCAAAACTAAGTAGGGCAGCACTTATTACTGTATCTATAAGAGTTAAAAAGCGAGATAAGAAGAAAGGAGTATTAAAAGAAGGCCTTTAACTGGAAGACGGAGGATAAATGATGGTTGAATACGATC